GATGTTACTGGGGTGTGTTATAGACGGGTAATTCATATATAGAGAATTATAGCGTGGGTGACTGTATAGTTTCGCCAAAGGGCATAATATTGATTATTTAGTGACTGGTGTAACAGCTGTGTGTGTACGGGAATTCCCTGAGTGATTATTGTGTTATTGTGTACGTTTCACTCGGTAACTGTACCACGTGGTGCTGTTGCCAGAGGAAACGGGTGTGACTGTTGAATAAGAACGCGTGCATAGTATTCGTTGTCAACGACGTTCCATTGATAAGTATGGGCGCGTCAGAGTCAACGATTTCGGATCCCTTAGGTTGTATGGTAAAGAATTTTAAAAAGGGATTCAAAACATGTGATTTTGGGGTTAAAATGTCTCCTGTACGTTTGGTCACTTTGTGCACTAGGGAGTGGCCTACTTTGGTTGCGGCATGGCCGCCGCGTGGCAGTTTGGATCCAACCCTGGTACAGCGTGTACACGTGGCTGTATCAGGTAGGCCTGAACTTTACGGACAGTTTCCATACATTGATTGTTGGAGGCAGGCCGTAAACGACTCGCCAAAATGGATCCGGATATGCCACGAGGAGCAATGTCGCCTCATGGTGGCCAGGACTTATTTGTCCACTAGGACTGGTGTTAGGCCCATTTTGGACACGCCCCCTGAGTCCGAGATCCCTTTGCCGCCCCCTTACTTTCCTTTAAGAGGAAGTGACGCGAATGCAGGAAGTTCTGCACCCCTTCCCCTATTGCCCCCATCCACTTCCGCTTCCTCCTCCAGTACAGAATCCACCCCCCCTCGTATTAAAACTCCCCTTCCGGAACCAGGACCAACCCCCATTAGATCTGAATATCCTGATTTGGCGCCACTTCAAACTTCCGGTCAAGCTTCTTCTAGCTCGGCTCGGAGTATACTATTCACTAACTTTTCCCAAAATCAAGTTCCCACATCCTCATGCCCTATTACCTCTCGACCGGAACCTTTAACTGACGCCCCTCCACGTAGCCCCATACTAACCCGACAACTGACCGGTACCCAACAATTAAAACATTATCAGATGCCTCTTCGTCTGAATCCTGGGTCAGCCTATATCGATGCCGCAGGTCAAATGGCACATGCTGACCCAGTCTTCGTATATGTCCCGTTCACGACTACCGATCTCTTGAATTGGAAGACCCACAATTCCTCGTACACTGAGAAACCACAAGCTATGACCGATCTGTTCACCTCGATAGTTCAGACACATAACCCGACATGGGCTGATTGCCAGCAGTTATTAATGACATTGTTCAATAATGAGGAAAGGACAAGGATTAACCAAGCGGCCATTAAGGCGCTAGAGGAGAGAGCCCGTGCTTTAAATCAAGCCAATCCGGCAGCATGGGCCGCAACACATTACCCTAACACCGATCCTGACTGGAATGTAAATGGCGCAGATATGGCTCAACTTAAAGCCTATAGAGACGCTATAATTGCTGGCATGAAAGCCGGAGGGAAGAAAGCTATTAACATGTCGAAGACAGTTGAGGTGATTCAGAAAAGTGATGAAGCGCCCAGTGTCTTTTATGACCGATTATTGGAGGCATACCGCTTGTATACCCCCTTTAATCCGGAAGACGCTGATAATTCCCGAATGGTAAACTCCGCCTTTGTCAGCCAAGCTTACGGAGATATTAAGCGCAAGCTACAGAAATTAGAAGGGTTTGCAGGTATGTCTATCACCCAACTAATGGAGGTAGCGAACAAAGTATATATGAATAGGGAAACAGAAAGTAAGAAAGAGGAAGAGCGCAAGATGCGTAGAAAGGCAGATATGCTAGCGGTAGCGATCGCAGGCGTAGATAGACGGGGCCCAGATAGAGGCGATGGTAGATGGAATAGGGAGCCTTTGAGTAGGAATCAGTGCGCGTACTGCAAGGAAGAAGGGCATTGGAGGAACGAGTGTCCGCAAAGAGAGCAGTATGAGAGAGACTTACCCAGGGCAGGTTACGGAAACTTTAGAGGCAGAGCGAGAGGTAGAGGAGGCCCCGGAGGGAGTAATGGTAATAGAGGGAGTAATGGGAACAGAGGAAGTGTAAGGGAAGATAGGTACTATCCAGCAGCGCAAAGGTCCCGCGATAGAGAAGGTAGGGACTTTGTGGGATTGGCTGACACGGTCATGGAGGACTATTGATACCGACCGGGCTCCATCCCCCTTGGTCGAGCGGAGCCTATGGTCGATGTATCAATAGGGGGAAAAAGGAGTGCGTTCATGATCGACACTGGTGCTGAACATTCGGTGGTGACTAATCTAGTTGCTCCTCCATCTGGAAGAACTATTACTGTAATAGGAGCAACTGGAAGAAGTGCTGAAAAACCGGTTCTTAAAAGTCGACTCTGTACATTGGGAGGCCACGTAGTAAAACATCAATTCCTTTATATGCCTGAGTGTCCAGTCCAATTGCTGGGACGTGATATGCTATCCAAATTACAAGCGCAGATTACGTTCCTACCAAATGGAACAACATCCTTAAAGTTTAATGGACCTTCAGGTATTATGACATTGTCCGTACCAAAGGAAGAAGAGTGGCGACTTTATACAGTGTTGACTAGCCAAAACCCGAGGAGTGATGAATCCTTATTTAACATACCAGGAGTTTGGGCAGAGAACAACCCACCAGGACTGGCCCGCAATATTCCACCTATTAAAATCGAACTAAAACTTGGGGTTTATCCAGTAAGCCTGAGACAATATCATATTCCGCAGAAGGCTAAGAAGAACATCCAATCTTATCTGGATAAGTTCATACGGTATGGTATCCTAAAATTCTGTACTTCCCCCTGGAACACCCCATTGCTGCCTGTTCAAAAGCCCGGTACAGATGAGTATCGACCTGTGCAGGACTTGAGAGCAGTCAATGATGCGGTTGTTAGTATACATCCAGTCGTGCCCAATCCATATAACCTGCTTGCTTTAATTCCGGGCGGGGCTACTTACTTTACAGTCTTAGATCTCAAAGATGCCTTCTTTTGCCTCCGAATTGCCGCAGAAAGCCAATGTATCTTCGCTTTCCAATGGGAAAATGCTGTAACGGGCTCGAAACGCCAAATGACCTGGACAAGATTGCCCCAGGGGTTTAAAAATTCACCTACCCTATTTGGTTCAGCTCTAAGTCAAGATCTACTAGATTTCGAGTCTATCCCAGGAGAGTGTGTATTATTACAATATGTAGATGACTTGTTGATAGCAGCAGTTACAAAGGAAGTATGTCAGCAAGCAACGCACGATCTACTACACATTCTCTGGAAGGCAGGATACAAGGTGTCTAGAAGGAAGGCTCAGTTGTGTTTGCCAACTGTCAAATATCTGGGATTCCATATCTCTGAAGGTCAAAGAATTATGGGGCCAGAGAGAAAAGAAGCTGTGTGCCAAATACCGATACCCAGGAATAGAAGACAAGTGCGAGAATTCTTGGGGGCAGCAGGCTTCTGTAGGATATGGATTCCCAGCTACGCGATACTGGCAAAACCTCTGTATGCAGCTATCAAAGGTACAGAGCACGACCCCTTCTTATGGACTCAAGAACAGCAAACGGCATTCGAAGATGTGAAGAGGGCTTTGATGAGTGCCCCAGCATTAGGTCTACCTGACCACACACGGCCATTCTACCTGTATGTACATGAGCAAAGAAGAATGGCTGTGGGAGTATTGACACAGTACTTGGGATCATGGCAAAGACCTGTTGCCTACATGTCTAAGCAACTGGATGCAGTGGCCAGCGGACTTCCACCTTGTCTAAGAGCTGTAGCTGCAGCCGCCCTGCTAGTAGCTGAAGCCGATAAACTCACTCTGGGTCAAGAACTTTATGTACGAGTTCCACATGCAGTACAGACGTTGTTGGATTACAAAGGAAATCATTGGTTTAGTAACAGCCGTATGACCAAGTATCAAGCAATGTTGTGTGAAAACCCAAGAGTGCATTTAGAGACTGTAAATACCTTAAATCCAGCTACCCTTTTGCCACAATCTACTGAAAGTCAACATGATTGTTTGGAAGTAATGGATGAAGTATTTTCAAGTAGACCAGATCTTCGTGATTTTCCCATCCAGAACCCTGATGTTCAATATTACACCGACGGCAGTAGTTATGTAAAAGAAGGGATCCGCTATGCAGGATATGCAGTAACAACGATAGACAAGGTGATAGAAGCTCGGCCACTGGCAAAAGGAACATCAGCACAAAAGGCAGAATTGATAGCACTGACACGAGCGTTACAATTGGCTGAAGGTTTAAGAGTGAACATCTACACGGACTCCAAGTATGCGTTTTTAACCACTCATGCCCACGGAGCTTTGTATAAAGAAAGAGGACTATTGAATTCAGAAGGCAAAGAAATCAAATACGCAGCTGAGATCCTACAACTATTGGAAGCAGTGTGGGAGCCGAAAGAAGTCGGTATTATACATTGTCGGGCGCATCTGAGAGGAGATGGTGATGTAACCAAAGGGAATCGGATGGCAGATAGTGCAGCTAAGCGTGCTGCTGAATCAGGAAGACAGGAATATGTGGGGCATATAGCTGCTCTTATACCAACTCCACTGTCTCAATGGACTCCAATTTATACAGCTCAAGAAGAGGAGTGGTTAAGGACTGAACCTGGAAAGTATTTGGAGAACAAATGGTATCAGTTAGAAGATGGAAGAATAGTTATTCCAGCATCACTAGCGGTAGAAATTGTCCAAAACTATCATAACGGGACACATTCTGGGAGAGACAGTACAGAAGAATCTCTCAGAAAACATTTCTACATACCAAGATTGTCCAACTTGACTCAGGCCATTGTACGTAGATGTGTAACGTGTGCTAAAAATAATGCAAGACAAGGACCAGTAAAGCCACCAGGAGTCCAGTTTATGGGGGGACTTCCCATGTCCGATTTACAAATTGACTATACAGTGATGCCTAAATCGGGTGGACATCGCTACCTGCTGGTAGTGGTGTGCACCTATTCAGGCTGGGTAGAAGCATGTCCTACTCGTACAGAGAAAGCAGGAGAAGTCGTGAGATTCCTGCTACGAGAAATAATACCCCGATATGGACTACCTTGCTCTATAGGATCGGACAATGGTCCAGCTTTTGTTCATCAGTGCCTACAACAACTGACTCATATGCTTGGTATAAAGTGGAGGCTTCATACGGCATATAGACCCCAGAGTTCTGGTAAGGTAGAGAGAATGAATAGAACTATTAAGAATCAGTTGGCTAAAATGTGTCAGGAAACCCAACTTAAGTGGAACGTTCTCTTGCCCATAGCTCTATTGCGAATCCGTAGTACACCTACCAGAAGGATGGGCCTCTCTCCTTTTGAAATCATGTACGGGCGACCACCTCCCGTGCTTGGTAACTTAAGGGGGGATTTGAGTCAGTTGGGAGAAGGAATTACCCGGCAGCAGGTTGTAGAGTTGGGTAAGACTATGGAGGAGGTACAGAAATGGGTACAAGATAGATTACCTGTGAATATTTATCCCCCAATTCATAGTTACCACCCAGGCGACCAAGTGTGGATTAAAGAGTGGAATAATGTGCCGTTAGGGCCCAAGTGGAGAGGTCCTTATGTTGTTCTTCTGTCTACCCCTACAGCGATAAAAGTAGCCGAAGTGGCTCCGTGGATACATCACTCCAGGGTTAAACCAGCAGCAGCCGATTCCTGGCAAGTTACAGCAAATCCAGAGAATCCCTGCAAGATCCGGTTAAAACGCACGACTCAGTCGGAGTGACGAGGAACCTTGTAGATTACAAATGTTATTGTTTCAGAGACTTGGTAAGTGAGTGAGAAGGCCATAATAAAGCCTGTCCACTCACCAACGAGTGTATAAGTCAGGGAAAGTCTTGAGGGGACCCCTGTGAAGACGAGCAGAACTCCATTCCCTGCAGTCCTTACATCCTGGAAGCTGAGGTGCCTTCACACGGACGAAGACTGAGGATGACGACGAAAGATGTATTTTTAATAATGTTTATTTATGTGTATTTTTATATTCAGGAAGGTAGAGGTACCGACACTCCTAGCTGTGAGGTATGCATTAAGACTACAAGAACAGGTAACCATATATCCCAGACCCTAATTTGGCATTCGCAATATGAGTGTAAAGGAGATGTATCAAGATGTAGATACTTAAATATAGAATATAGTGTGTGTCATTTAGGAGTAGGAGAACCTAAGTGCTTCAGTCCTGAGTATCAACCCCGTACAATTTGGTTGACTCTCAGAAATGGAGATCCTCAGGGGACCCTAATTAATAAGACGGTATTAAAATCCGTATATTCTTCAGGTGCTCTGCTATTTGATGCGTGTAAAGCAATATCAAGTGGTAGAAAGCCGTGGAATGTATGTGGGGATCTTAGATGGGAGAGGACGTATGGGTCTAACGATAAATATATTTGTCCCAGTAGTAAAAATAAATATGTAAGTCCAAGATGCCCAAATAGAGATTATAACTTCTGCCCATATTGGTCTTGTGTGGGGTGGGCGACTTGGGGACAGACAGCAGACAAGGACATGATTGTGACTAAGTTGCCTACTGATCCATATTGTAAGTCTATGGAATGCAATCCAATCCATATACTTATAAATAACCCTGACAAGTTCTTAGATAAATATGGTAATTTATTTGGGTTTCAAATATATGGGACGGGTTTAGACCCTGGGACAATATTGTTTATAGGGATAGAGACTGATACGGTAACCTCCCAAACTCATCAAGTATACCATTCCTTTTATGAAGAGATGAGCATAGATAATAAGATCCCCCATAATGCTAAAAACTTGTTCATTGATTTAGCCGAGAGTATTGCCGGTAGTCTTAATGTTACCAACTGCTATGTGTGTGGAGGTACTAACATGGGAGACCAATGGCCTTGGGAAGCAAAGGAGGTAATGTCCGGTTCTGAGGCAGTTGACCAATTAATATCTACACAAGCCGACTATCATATGAGTGTTAGAGGTAAATCTGAGTGGAGATTGAAGACCTCCATCATAGGTTATGTTTGCATAGCGAGGAAAGGAATGATGTATAATACTTCTGTAGGAGAATTAACTTGTCTAGGGCAAAAAGCTTATGATGATGATACAAAGAATACAACTTGGTGGTCGGCTTCAAATGTCTCAGAACCATCTAACCCGTTTGCAAGATATGCCAATTTAAAGGACGTATGGTTTGATCTATCCATCACATCTAACTGGAGAGCCCCAGCGAATTTGTACTGGATCTGTGGTAAGAAGGCCTATTCGGAGTTACCACAGGACTGGGAAGGGGCATGTGTGTTGGGTATGTTGAAACCATCCTTCTTCTTGTTGCCTATTGAAACAGGTGAGACTTTAGGTGTTAAAGTGTATGATGTGAATCATAGGAAGAAAAGGGGACCCATAGAGATAGGTGCCTGGGAAGATAATGAATGGCCTCCCCAGCGTATTATAGATTATTATGGGCCAGCCACGTGGGCAGAGGATGGTACCTTTGGTTATAGAACCCCTATTTATATGCTCAACCGCATTATAAGGTTACAGGCGGTGGTTGAGATCATTACTAACGAGACATCACAAGCGCTCAATCTTCTAGCGAAGCATAATACCAGGATGAGGACAGCAGTTTACCAAAATAGATTAGCCTTGGATTATCTTTTGGCAGTAGAGGGAGGTGTATGTGGGAAGTTTAACCTGAGCAATTGCTGTCTTCAAATAGATGACGAAGGGCAAGCAATAGCTGAGCTTACTAGCCATATGGTTAAACTAGCGCATGTGCCTACTCAGGTATGGAAAGGGTACAATCCAAGTAGTTGGTTTGGTAGCTGGTATGAGTGGTTTGGAGGGCTTAAGGCAGTGGTAGGTGGAGTCCTACTGATTTTAATGTTGTGTCTACTCCTGCCGTGTCTTATACCCTTAGTAGTTAGGTCTGTGCAAAGCCTGATAGAAAATATAGCAGAGAGGAAGGCTGCTGCACAGATAATGGCAATTTATAAATATAAGGCTCTAGATCAGGGAGAACCAATGCAGGAAGACGAGTGTTGAAGATTCACATCATAGGATAAGTCTGGTCTGGTTCAAAGGTAACTTGTGGTGTATGCAAACCAAGGTTAAGTGATGCCTCAAGTAATTGTAAAATATCAAGAGGCATCAAAGGGGGGAATGTGGTGGAATCTCGGTAAAAATAAATTTAGTAGGCCGAGATTACCACGTGGCATGTGTACGTGCATATGCTGACGTATCGATCAGTTGGTTGCACGAGGCAAGATACGATCAGTAGTGTACGGAGCATGTGCAAGAATACAGGATGTAGTATTCCCCTCCTCCATTGTGCTGGACAAGCCATGCGGTCAAGCAGGAAGTTAATTCTTATTTGTAATGATTGGTCAAGAGAATGTGCGGGTGGAGCTTAATATGGGAGGAGTTATGTGCCTATATAGGGAGCCTGCACTATTGTTCAGGGCTCAGAACTTGCTGTATTTTTGGTGACATTAGTCCCTCTGAGTCCCGATCGGTGATCCAATAAAGAATCTCTTCCTTCCTGAAGAAACCTGTGTCCATCTCTCTGTGCTTTGCTTCCGTCAGTTTCTCCGGTATCACTGCTAGATGGGGATTTACATTTGTTTAGGTTTACAGAGAGTAAGCTCTGGAGTCTGTCTCACTACTCTCAGGCAGGGAGTTACTCTGCCTGAGAGTACAGAAACTTGCAGGTGTCTCTCTGTGCCTCAGCCACTCAACCTGCTCCTGTCCATGGTCTCTGCCATGAATGTGTCTGCCATCAGATTGGCCCCTAAGTGGCCCTTGGTATTCATGTCAGCTGGCAGCAGGATGCAGATAGTCCCCAGTCATTTTGGGGGGTGAAAAGAGCATGAAATATAGGAATTAAAAAAGAAAGATATATGAAACTGCCAGAGATTGAGAAATAGGGAGAGAGTGGACATGAAGTGTTTAGACAATTGGGGAAATGAGGAGGGAGATAGAATAGATAGAGAATTATTTGTTGGGACTTGACATCAGTGTGTGTGAAAGAGACAGTGTGTGTAAGAGCCATTGAGCTAGTTTGTAAGAGACCACAAAATTGGGATAAAGACACAAAAGCATTAAAACAATGGCAAACGCTATGCTATTATTATTATTATTAATATTAAATGGCAAACGGGATACAATATGCAAAAAGAGAAAAAGGTGACGATGCACAAAAGGATGGGTAAAAGGGGGATATTAGACAACCAGGTGAAGACGAAATTTGTGGTCGGTAAAATGCGTCTTCGTCTGTAGACAAAATCCTTGCAACGACTCTGCATGCCTCCCCATGTCTCCCTCACAATCACCCTGGCATCCCATGTCTCCCTCACAATCACCCTGCTGCCCCATGACCCCCTCACCCACACTCTGGCGTCCCATGTCCCCCTCACACACACACTGCAGCCCCCTGTCTCCCTCACACACACCCTGCCGCCCCATGTCTCCTTCACACAGACCCTGCCCCCCTCAATTCCCCCTCACACATTCTGCCGCCCCAATTCCCCGTCACACATTCTGTCGCCCTATGTCCCCCCCACACACACCCTGCCGTCCCATGTCCCCCTCACACACACAAATTTACTATCATGATATTCAGGATTTATGCTCATTGCCATGATATACCAAGTTTAAGCATTTACTTTTCATTGGCATGAAATATTAAATTTATATGTTTATTGCTAATCGTCCTGGTATACCTAATTTTTGTATTTACTGCTCATTGGCATGATATACAAGGTTTGTACATTTACTGCTCATTAGCACGATTAAAAAGGTTTATACGTTTACTACACACTGGCTTGAAATACAAGGTTTATGCATTTAATATTAATAATAATAATAATAATAATAGCATTCCCTTGCCCCCCATGGTATATATATGGGTGGCTGTATCGATGTGCTTGTGAGTGTGTGCCTGCATGACTGGAGGGGGGTCCGGTGGAGTTGAAAACATATGAAAAGTCGGAACTGGTTACTAAGAATTTTGAATTCCACTACTGCTGCAGCAGCAATAGACGTTTTTATTCCCTGTATAGACAGTCTGTCCCTAGTAAATTCCAGCTGTTGAGGATGTAAAATAGACTGGAGGAATTGTTGGAGTCTGTTAGCTTGTATTTTAGTGAGGAGTTTGAAATCATTATTTAATAAAGTGATTGCAAAATTCCAATCTAATTACTGTAGAGGT